AGAAAAGTGACCAAAATTGTCAATTCCTTAAAGTTTTGTGGCCAAACTTTGAATATTAAAAAGTTCTTAAAAAAATATAAAAATTTTGATTGCAAAGTCCAAAGGTGTCGAAATGATTAAAGAATAGGAAGCAAAATTGACAAAAAGCTTGGATTTTCACTATTAACTTTGAACTTTTTTAATATATATATATATATATATATATATATATATATATATATATATATATATATATATATATATATATATATATATATATATATATATATATATAAGTAAAATGGACCTACCATAACCTACTCTCACCCAAAATATGTTTTATTGTTATTAATTTTATATATATAAAATTAAAACGAACCTACCACAACCACTCCTAATCAAAATATTTTTAAAGAATGTTTTTTAATAATGAAACAACAAATAACCTATATATTTTTCAAGATTCAACTATTTAAATCGTTTCTTAACCCTAAATTCTATAAAAACATTTGATTATTTGTTCAGCTGAATCGATTCTTAATCTTTAGTTCCCAAAATTAAGTTGGTTTAAGATAAAACCTCAAAAGTTGAACCTAGAGAGATGACTACAAGTTTCTTCATATTGTAGATATCATATTTCCAATCGATTAAAAAATTAACCCAAGCAAAGCAAATGCACCAATGTGTATTATTATTATTATTATTATTATTATTATTAAATTTCTCTTGTTTCATATGTGAAGATGATGTTGCACATCAAAAAACATCTATAGTTTTCAAGTTGTATCCTTTATTATTAATTATAATTTAATTGAAACTTTGATCCGTTTTATTGGGAAATAGATGAAATATTTACCTTGTTAGTCAGTGATCAAAACTAACCAAAATGTTATTGTCTACCGGTAGAGAGTGATCAGTTCCATTGAAAAGTCACAAGTTCAAGTCTCATTTAAGATATAAATAGCAGTGTTGTAGAAATTGGCATTAGCAGCCAATTAATCAATCAGAGATTAATCATTTGGCGGTTTACAACCGATTACGATTAGGGATGCTTGATAGAAATTGGTCAATATCGGTCAAACTCGAGCTTGGTGGTCCTTGATGCTCCTTGGCATTCGTAGGCAGAAAAAATTAAAAAAAAAAAAATCAAATATTTAAAATTTTGAATATTACACCAAAATTTCAAAATTTTAATTTTTCAAGCATTCAAAATTTTCAATATTATACAAAATATTTCATATTTTTAAAATTTCAAATTTTGAAATGTTCAAATACTTATTTATTTTCTTAGAATATATTATGTTTTATTAATAATTCAGGTTTCCGATTAATTTTCATTTAGTCTCCACCTAGACCGATTACTCCTTTAACCCTAGACCCGGTCGACTGTCAAGATCCAGCCGACACATTGATAACTAGTAACGAGATTAGTTTATCGTTTCAAAAAAATCAAAATTGAAAATCGCAATAAAGAAAAAGCGAACTACAATAAAAATTACTGGAAAGCTTATGGGATTTTTGTGTAATGGGCTCTTAAAATTATGGGATTTATTTACAAAATACCGGTGAAAAAAACGTGAACGTGGCAATGTGAATATAATAGACCAACCATATTCTGTTTTGGCAAGGGCTGAAACCTTTCCCAATTCGTCATTTAGCATTAATGTATCTGTGCACCCACCTCACTCCATTTCATCGACTCAAAGCGCAATCCCCAAAAGCTGCGACCACATCGAGGGAGAGATTACCACTGTATCTCTGTGTGTGTATGTTTTTGAATCTCTTCTGTGTAACTGTGTTGCCTGAGAGTACGTTTCGGTTGACCACATTTACACAATCAACAAACTACTGACATTATGTTTCAATTTCCCTGACTTGGACCTTTCATCTCTTATATAATCGATTATTTTGCTTATATCCATGTTTATATATTTCGGTAGATGAGAAAGTTTCTGGGTTTAAACTTTTTGTGGCTATAATTAGAATTTCTGTAAATCCCCTCGTGTTGCCGCCCAAAAGTTTTCAATCCCTAGCTTATATATTGTTCCAGTCACGTTCTCTAGGCCCTTGTAAGCTTGTTAAGAAATTACTTTTTGAACTTTTTTTTTTATTGAAATTCGAAAATTAGTTGTACTTTGGCAGTTCCAAACAAAAGTTAGTATTTTCACATGTACCTTTTCCTTTTTTTATTAATTCTTTTATATTATCTGGATTGCTATTATATTTTTCTTCCTGTTGCCAAGAATATTGATCTTCAGCTTATATGTTACGCTGTTTTAGGTAAATGTCCACGTCTTCCACTTATAGATTGATTTAATCACATTATGTTGCTTGATCTGTTTACAGGGCAAATTAGAATCCACTTTGTGAAATGTTCTTGGTAAAGTAGATGATTGCTTTTACTTTAGAATGTCACAAAAGAAGGGAAAGGGGAATAGAACTGATGGTTTCTATCCTAAAAAAAATTTCAAAACAGAATATTGTGACTGCTGAATTTGATGTCCATGTGTCTTTGCAAGATTTCCCCCCATTTAGTCTAACCTTTTTTAGCCTTTCTTGTATTCTATATCTATCCTATTATAAAAGCTGTTGATTTCTATTGTTTCATGTTCATGTTATCGTACCAGTAGCAACTTAAAGTGTAAGGTCCATATTTTGGTGTTAGAGGCTGAAACTGGAGAAGGAAAAGAGAATCTATGGAGGGAGACGCAGGGAGAGACTTGGAAGTCCAGAAAAGTTTGGATGGGAGGGTGAATGAACCATCTTGTTGCCTGAAAGCAAGAGCTTCCCCTGTTGATTCAGAGCTTGAAGCCAATTGTCATGCAACAGTTGTTTCTGGATGGTTCTCTGGTAATCATTTGAATAATCAGAATCATGAATCATGTGGTTACTGTTTGAGATGATCATCATTATCTTGTTAATTGCTGCAGATAAAGGTGGCAAAAGCATGTACTTTAACAACCCTATGTGGCCAGGTAATTTAAGCTAGGGTTCATATATGTTGAATATACAACCTGAGTTTTCTTTTGTGAAAAATAAATATCAGGAGAAGCGCATTCCTTGGAAGTAGAAAAGATTTTGTTCAAGGAAAAATCAGAGTACCAGGAGGTTGTAGTTTTTGAGGTATCACATGTCAACATGGATCTAGTACTAAAACTAGAGAATCACATGTTAATATTATATAATGCTGAAATTGTTAAATTATTGATGTGCAGTCTGCAGCATATGGGAAAGTTCTTGTTCTTGATGGCATTCTTCAGCTGACTGAGAAAGATGAATGTGCATATCAGGAAATGATTGCCCATCTTCCCCTTTGTTCCATTGAATCACCAAAAAAGGTAACTTTAGCATCAAAGATAAAGTTTGATATCTCTGTAATTATTTCCATGCTTATTAATATTGTTGGATGGTGTGTTTGTATGCAGGTTCTGGTTGTGGGTGGTGGGGATGGTGGAGTTCTAAGGGAAATTGCTCGCCACAGCTCTGTGGATTTAATCGATATATGTGAAATAGATAAGATGGTTATAGATGTACGTATGTGGTGAAACTAAATAGATAAAATTTATTAACTCTAAGTAACCTTTGTTTTGTTATATGTAATTCCTTGTTTGTTATTTGTAGGTAAGTAAGAAGTATTTTCCCGAGTTAGCTGTTGGTTTTGAAGATCCTCGTGTTCATCTCCATGTCGCTGATGGTAATGTTTTTATTATTTTATTATTTATCTTTAAGTTTGAGATTTGATCTTGTGGAATTTGGACAGCTGTTGAGTTTATCCGGAACACGCCTGAAGGAAAGTATGATGCCATTATTGTTGATTCATCTGATCCTGTGGGTATGTTTTTTTTTTTTTTTTTTTTTTTTTTTTCCGCTTATGATCATGAATATTCATACATGTATAGTGATGCATGTGATGTAACATAACGTATGTAGGTCCTGCTCAAGAGCTAGTGGAAAGGCCTTTTTTTGAGTCGATAGCAAAAGCATTAAGACCTGGAGGGGTACTTTGTAACATGGCAGAGAGTATGTGGCTTCACACTCATCTTATCCAGGACATGGTCACCGCATGTCGCGATATATTCAAGGGTTCTGTTCATTATGCATGGGCAACTGTACCTACGTATCCCAGGTGTCTCATTGATTCATTAAACCATTGCTGCTGCTGTTAACAATAATTCTAGAAAGAACAAAAAAAACTGATTGATTGTTGATATTTCAGTGGTGTTATTGGATTCATATTGTGCTCAACGGATGGACCGCCTGTAGATTTTAAGATTCCTGTAAACCCCATTGAGAAGGTAGAGGGAGCACTGGAGCACTGGAGAGAACTAAGATTTTACAACTCTCAGGTTCCTAATTAACCTGCTATTGCTATACACAGTTTAGTGAGTGTAATGATTGATGATATGTTACTTGATTTTTTTTTTTTTTTTAAACAGATGCATCAAGCTGCCTTTGCCTTGCCTTCATTTGTGAAGAGGGAAGTTAGCTGTCTTTGAGGGTTGTTAGTCTCGTGTGGGCTTGAAATTGTGGTGTGGGTGCAAACCAAATTATGAGTATGGTGTAGGTATATACGTTAGTGGATATGCATGTTGATATTGGGTGAAAATAATGGTATTCATGGGAGGGTTTGTCATTTGTCCTCTGTACATGGTCATCAATCTTTGTTTTGTGCTTCTAAGAAATTGTTTGTGCGTCATAAAAGTGAACTCGGTTGTTATGTTTCCAAGAAAGTGGATTTTTAGATGTGGGCGTTTTTATTTTGATCAGCATTTATCAAATGTTGAACATAAATATATTATAATGTAGTACATAAATTAACTACACATTACATCAACTACATTAACCACCATCTACGCATTAAGATTTCCAATTAACACACTTCATGCTTTGGGGTTATAGGGTGCAAGGAGAACTGGTTACTAGTTATTTGAATTTCTTTAAAAGATCAAAATCCAGTCAAATGATTCTTCAACATTTGTGCAACTCCAACTTTAAACCATTAAACATATATACTTTGAACATCAAGTGAAGCATGAAGTTGCATCAATGGAGTGAATCCAACATAAGCTAATACAGCTTTTTTGGCTATCAAAATCAAGCAAGCATGCAGATGACATGACATTTTTCTGGAAAAATACATTTACAATACAAGTAAAGAAGATTTAAGAGATGAGGTTGGGTAATACGAGAGGTCTGACATCTGGCTTTACCTTGGCACAACTGCCTTTTAAAATGGTATCTAAAGTCGCAATAGCTTCCAGAATATGCTTCCCTTTGTTCAACATTATACAACTAGCCCTGTATAATAAATGACAACACAACATGGCTGAATACATCAGAAGAAAGAAATAATTGGCCTTGAATAAAAATAAACACACAAAACCTAACCTTGCGCCACACGCCACATCAGTTATTTCGGCTCTAGTAGGCACACCGGTCTTTACGAGCGACTCAAGTACCTGTGTCGCCCAAATAACAGGAACATGTGCTGCGCTGCATATCGATAGGATTTCCTCCTGAATATCCCCCATCATCTCCCACCCACACTCAACTGCAAGATCTCCTCTAGCAATCATAACCCCCAAAGGATTTGATAGCTTCATTGCCTCTAAAAGCAAGAGAGGCAAGTTCTTAAGCCCATCTTTGGTTTCAATCTTTAAAACAATTCCCAATCTGTCGAGTTTCCTTTTCTTTAGTTCTTGCCCAACCAGAATAACATCATCAACATCCCGAACAAATGAAATCCCAACAATGTCAGCATGGGCGCCAACAAAGTCAAGATCAATAATATCTTTGGAAGTCAAACCTTCATACTGAATTTTACTCTCGGGGATGTTGATGGATTTCTCTGGGCCAAGTTTGGTGCCCCGTGGACCAGCACGGGTGATGGAAACAACTATTTCTGAAATACTCGTCCCTTTGATCACTCCCCATATTTTCCCATCATCAAAAGCAATCGGCTCTCCAGGTTTGACCGAGTCAAACAGATACCCAGAGGAACAAGTCACTCTAGGACTCCCACTACCAACCATGGAAGAAGTCAACTTTGTTTGTTCAAAATCTTCTGAGCTATCTCGTGATATGACCAGCAGGTCTCCAACTCTCAATCTAACAAATGTCTCTGTAGGAGGGACATCCACCACAGATCCAAACAACGACCTTTTCTTGTTCCCTTTTAATTTTATATACAGTTTTGTTCCATTCTCGACATAAGCAGTGTTTGTACAATCAGCCATGAATCCAACACCACTAAAAACAGGGAATTTATTTGAAATCTTGAGCGACCTTTGTTTGCCTCTAGCATCACGGAATCTAAGAGTATCGCCAACTTGTAGCTTTTCAAGAAACTGTTGTCCGTCCACATACAGGACCACATCTGGAGACACATGAGCAGGTGGGGAGCCAGCGCCTTTTTGTGCCACCCAAACCTGAGCAGCATTGATCAGATTTCCAGAGGCGTTCTTCTTTGGAGATATTTTGATGACACATGGACCGGATTTCATTCTACCTGTTCGCAGCTTTGGTCCAGCCAGATCCATGAGAATCCTACATGGTTTCTCAAGCATCTGAGAGTTTATTTTCACTTTTCTGATTGTCTCACTCCAGACACTTGGATCACCATGGGCACAGTTGATACGGACGACTGTGGTCCCTGCCTTGAGAATATCATTGATAAACGTTTCATTGGTTATGGCTTCTTCACCAACTGTCACCATGATATGACTTCTTTTGTCTTCAACTGGACCGATAAGCAAATCCCGGTTAGAATTTACCCTTTTTCTCATCATACTTGCTGTCAATTGGTTGGATTTTAGATTTTCCAACAGCTGGATTCCTGTGGAGAGGCCTGCAATCACATACGGATTGATTGTTTCCAAGTTCAGGAGGCCTACAGAAGACAGCTCATCTTTTAGTTGGTCGACATCAAGGCTTTTAAGAGCCAAATAATGTATCAGGTTTGCAGCACTAACAGCATGTCGTCTGCAAGGAAAGTGATGTTAGTGTTAGTGTTACTAGTCTTAGGTGCAGATTATATTTTCCAATTCCTGATTTCATGTACCCAAAAGATGGACTTTACTAGATAATCAACAATGACCTATAAATCACAATATAAAAAAGCAAAATAAATAAAGATACCCATGACATAGTTTTAGTCGGGAAGCATTCCACTGTTCCATTGCTAAAGCATGCATGTGAACAGCCTTTAATTTATCCAGAAGATTTCCCTGATTTCCCAAGATTTGATTTTGAGCATGCTGCAAGTGATTGTCATCCAAGTCTACTGAAGAAGCAATAATTTCCTTCTCTGAATCATTTTCAGTAGAGTTCCTACTACTCTCTGAAATGATGAGTGATTGATCATCAGCAGCATAAGCTCCCACACTGCTTTCAGGTTCATCATTTCCATTTCTAGTAGCAGAGACGATATAAGACCCTTTACGTCTCCTTGGAGGCTGGATGAATTTATCCTTAGAAACTAATAGCCCACATGACAAGTGCAGAGGTTTTTCATGTAAGTTTGAGGATGCCAACACCAATGCTTCAGCTGTGTAAGGGCCCTGAAAAAATTGGCCCAATAAAGAAGGTGTGTTAATTGGAGAATTCTAAGATAACGTTTGAAGTAATCATTAAGCTTGACTTGCTACTTACATAATTTGAGGCATGATTGGTGACTGAGCTAAGTGAAGCCACACCAAACATCATCTATAAGATAATGTTTCAGCAAAAAGATGAGTATCCAAACACTTTTAAAAAACAACTTACTCTATTTTTCCACCAAAAAAAGCTAATTCAAACACAAACTCCTTTCCTCACCACCATGAGTCAATAAAGTCATTCTGCCTAAAAGTCCTTTTCAAGTTCAAAATAAATCCCAAACACCCTCTGATAATATCACCAAGACAGTAAATGAGGCTATCATTCCAAATTAAAAATGCTGCACACCTCATTCTAAGAAGGTCCTTGTATGATTTATAATTACTACGCTTATGTTCTCTATTTCAGTCTACATGTAAAACCAATGCAAACTAACATAGATTATCTCTACACAGACACGGGTATTCATGTAACAGCTAAAAGTTGTTTTTTTTTTTTTTTTCATGATAGTTGAAGTTTTAAGTAAGAAAGGCCGAAGTCTTTGGATCTTTGCATATTCAAAATGTCCTATAATCGTCAAAAGGATAGCTTCATACAAGCAGGTTACATAATATAAATTTAATCTGTGAAATTGGGGGGAAAAGATCAACTATAAACGAACACAATCACAAACTAAAAACAAAAGCCAAACTAAAACCAACCCCTGATATCCACAGATGATAAATAAAACGACCAATTTGACCTAACTAAATCAAGCCCATGGTGTCATGAATGCTAACCAACAAACAAGTGTTCATTTTCAAATCAATACATGCCGTGTAACAGGATGATCAAGGCGATACACATGACGTAGGAAAGAATCGAACAATATAAATATATTTATATATTATTTGAAAGTTTTTTATTTTTTTACCTTTTTGAATCTTGGTGACGGGCTGACGGCAAGGAATATTGGTGGTTAGAGATGGAGAATCTGTGGGAGAGAGGAAGCGAGAAGAAAGAAGAGTGTGGCCAACACGAGCCAGATTCAGACAGCTGGACCCTTAATTATTGCCAATCTTTTCATAATATCGACAATCGACCCTAATTTCATTTCCACTATTTTTTAGGGGTGAGCATGGTGCGGTTTGATGCTGTTTTCATATCAAACCGAACCGCAAACCGCATGGTGCGGTTTTCGCATTCTTAAAACCGTTGGGTGCGGTTTTGCAATGGTTCGGTTTTTTGATTTTTAAATGCAGTTTCGGTTTGTATCGGTGCGGTTTCGGTTTTTAAACCGTGTTAAGAATTTGGTGCAGTTTTTTTATGTTTTTTTGTGTGGTTTTTTAAAACTGTAAGAACTAAAAACCATGTGCATATAAGCTTGTATTGTGTTGTTTTTTTTAATACATTCATTTTCAGCTCAAAACAAAATTACATAATTAAAAATTGTAAGTCGCTTAAAATACAACTTGTGACCACTCTCACAAACTAATTAATGATTGAAGGTTGGTTGATTTTGACTTAATTTGTTATAAGCTTATTACATGTAATCGATTAGTACGTTTGACTAACAATAGAACATTTCTTTTGCACCCCATATAGTTTTATACAAACACAAAATAAACATATAATAAATATATTATCGTTTATAACTATTTTAAATAGAATGTATATAATATACATTGATTGATTTATTACTATACACGCTTGCGGTGCGGTTCAGTTTTGATGGACCGGTTTTTAGGATAGAAACCACACCGCACCGTTGACCTTCGGTTTTTGCAAAAATTAAATCCGCACCATTGGTTTTTAAATCGGTTTCTGTTTTTCGGTTGCGGTTTATTGCGATTTTGTCGATTTTTCTTTAGTCGGATCGGTTTTTGCTCACCCCTACTATTTTTCTCAAACAATTTGTATTAACGTTCATGATTTTTTTTAAGAATTTGTATTATATAATTAGCTATGAGATCCATATATTACATTGGTTTATTTAAAAAAAAAACTAAATATAAAATTTTTACAATTTGAAAAGTTTGAATTTATAAGAAAAATAAGGAATCTTTTGAATTATTAAAATTAAAGAACATTTAATTTATTAGATACATTACATATATAAATCATTTCTAATAAATATCTTATATATATTACCTTACATATTAAATGTGAAATTTTAATTTAATAAAATGAAAAATATAATAAAATGACAAGTGGAAATAAAAAATTTATAAATGTTAGAAATTATCATGTGTCCAAATGAAGGAGAAGAGGACATATGACAAAAAAACATTCATTTATTATAGTAGATGCATGAATTTGTTGGGTTTTTTTTTAGGTTTTTTAGCCCATGAGGAAAGCCCACTTTTTAGCCCATATATATACATATATATATATATATATATATATATATATATATATATATATATATATATATATATATATATATATATATATAGGAAAAGTAAATATACCCTTAAGGGTATATAAGCTTAGGTACCCAAACTCATCATACTACGTCGTTTTGTATCATATAATACATTCTAATTGTTCAATATTCTTATAATTTAACTTCAAACTTGATTTACTTCCAACATTATTATAAATTTCACATAAATCTTCCTCTTACGTAATTTTCATTTTCAACTACAATATATATAGCCTAATAAGTGTTCTGCAAAAAGATGTGATATAAGAGAAAGATATTAGTGAAATTTTGAAAATCTTGAAAGTTAATCAAGTTAAGAGTTGAAGTTTACACACATTATAATAAATATATTAAACAAAACGACGTATTATAGTACGTTTGGGTACCTAAGCTTATATACCCTTAAGGGTATATTCACTTTTCCCTATTTATATATATATATATATATATATATATATATATATATATATATATATATACGGCCTAATTTTGTGAGACCGTGAGACGTATTTTTTTTTTTTTTTAATTTTTTTAGTTAACTCAAGTTCTGAAAATAATATTTAAAAAAAGAATTTTTTTGATTTTTCCATTTATTTTGCATTTTAAAATTATTTTTAGAATATGTACAGTGTAATATTCTATTTAGAATATTTCACGTATTTTTCAAAAAAAAATAGGATTTTTTTTTTAGTTAACTCAAGTTCCGAAAATAATATTTAAAAAAAGAATTTTTAGATTTTTCCGTTTATTTTGCATTTTAAAATTATTTTTTAGAATATGTCAGTGTAATATTCTATTTAGCATATTTCACGTATTTTTTTTTTAAAAAATGGGATTTTTATTTATTTATTATTTATTTTTTTTAGTTAATTCAAGTTCCGAAAATAATATTTAAAAAAAGAATTTTTGGATTTTTCCATTTATTTTGCATTTTAAAATTATTTTTAGATTTGGTCTCACGGTCTCACAAAATTAGAATGGTCTCAAATGAACCTGAACCTATATATATATATATATATATATATATATATATATATATATATATATATATATATATATATATATATATATATATATATATATATGATTGATATGTTTATCCTTTTGAAAATTGGTGGATTTGGTTAAATAGGGATAATATATGATTATTATGATTCAAATATTTGATCTAGTAAGTTTGAAAAGTTTCAATTTACACCCTTTAGATTTTATTGTTTAAATTTGAACTTAAAAGTTTTAGTTTTTGAAATTTAAATAGTTAAATGCTAATATTTTGAAAGGTTTCAAAATTCGTCCTCAAGTTTTTGAATTTAAAATTTAATTAAAATGTATAAATTTTGAAATATTAAATTATGGAACCCTAGTATTTTGAATAGTTCAAATTACACCATTATGGATTTTATTAAATTAATTAAAAGTTTAATTAAAATAGAGAATGAATAAATCCATAATAACATGGTTTAAAGGTTAATTAAATTAAAAGTATAATTCGTTAATAGATTAAACCACTAGTGTTTCAAAAGTATAAAATACACCCTTATACTATGTATAAGTAAAGAATCAGTTTTACTGTTAGTAGGCCTCATTCACGAAGTTGGTCTATAAGGAGTGTTTAAGGAAACAACCTGTAAAATGATCGTCATTGAGTATCCACTCTTACCCACCGCACGCTTGACCAGTGGAGGGTCGTTAGCCGAACGGGTAGGATAGAACACAACTTTGTATTATAAGTACAATGAAATACGAAGTAACTAAACAGTTTTATAAATTCCCAAATCTTAGTTACTTTAAGAAAAACGTGGAGTTTGTGCTAATCCATAAAATTACACATTGCACCTTGTTGGTCGTTACCCATATATATATATATATATATATATATATATATATATATATAATATATGGAAAAGTGAATATGTGGCTATCATGTATGTAATATTAGGTATAGAACCATCAAAAATGACTTCATTTTGATTAAAAAACACAATTTTTTTCATTGTTAGCTTCTTCCCATTGCTTTTGAGCTCATATTATTGCTTATTTCATAATTTATCTCCAACATCTATGTATTTCGAATGTATTGTTTATATTAGATCTATAGTAGGTCTCATAACTTTCTTTGACACCTATATATATACTTGCATGGTTCTTTTTGATGTGTTATGAGAAGAAGTTTATTGAATTTTTAATGAACAATTTTAATCTTTCACTATATAGTTTTCTTTATTAAATTTGAATATAAAGACTTATAGGTAGTTGATAATGTATTTTTATACATAGTTTGTACTGCAAAATTAAATATTTAAAACTCCATAAAAATATGTACAAAGCCTATCATCTAGTCTAACATAGAATAGAAGGAAGATGGTAGAGAGATTTGATTGCATTTTGTTAAAACTATGCAGTTGTAGGTACGGCTATAATAAAGAATCATTTAACTAATTCTTTTCTTTTTATCTTTTACAACAATCGGAATAGCTATTAAGAAGTTGTCATTGTACAACATACACTATAAACAAGCCCTAAAAAAGGTAAAGGCTATAATAAATTTAAAAAATAAAAAAAAAAGCACATGAGTAACAAACATATATCATTTATCTTCGGAAGTGAAATCAGGCTCTGCAGGCTTCTGAAGCATCAATGGAGGCAACTTGTCAGGAATCCTTGCTTTCCTTGCACCATTCCGCCTCAAAGCACGAAGGGCATTGGCTGCAAATCTTGATGCATAGATTGTAGCACCCAAACTGGGGGAACTCCCACTCCCACCACCTCCAGTCAAGGCGTTTTGCAGCCTATCCTCTTCTTCCCGGAGGGAATCTTCCAGTTTCTTCCTGCAACGCCGCCGCCATGCCGCCTGTATGAAACAAGCGGCCCACGTCCGCCATTGCTGGGAGTAGAATCTGAAAGTGTGGCGTAGCTGCTTACTGTGAAGTCTCCTGAACTGAGAAGCTACAAATTTGAGGTCATCTGCCATGAGAGCAAAGGCCTCCACTTCTTCAAGTGCTTGGACTGTTCTCGTGGAGATGGGGAGGTTTGATGATGTATGGGGATCCAAGGCCCATGTCAGCAGCTCCTCACCACAAAAATCACCCGCTCTTAGATAATCAGAGTTGAAGAATCCGGTCCTACCACCGTTTGTTGTAACTGTCAATAACTTCCCACGCATTACAAACAGCATCTCATCAACCGGGTCCCCTTCCCTCACTATATAACTATCTTCCGTATACAACACCGGTTTCAAACGGTCACACATCGCATCCATCAACTGATCATCCATTTTCTCAAACATCGGCACCTGAAAGACCAAACCACTATTATTTATCGATAAGATACGATTTGATTTTTTTTTTTTATAAAAAAAGAACAAGAAACTCACCCTTTTTAGCAGTTTCAAACAAAGATGGCGCTTTATATCCCTTCTAAGGTCCTTAGGAAGGTTCCGGATCAAATTATCTTCATCAACGCCTCTCGTTTCCTGCCATTTATATTGTTCGTACCTTCTGATTCGTTCCTTGAGAGGTTCCGGAAGCAACCGATGGGACATCCATTGCTCTGCATCTCGTCTTTTCACCCTCATCTCCTCCAATCGTATTGTTGTCGATTGCAGGTATGTCTGTAATACAATAAAAAGGTGGGCTACTCACACCATTACATCTTATAAATTATACAAAACTTAAGTAACATATATATATATATATATATATATATATATATATATATATATATATATATATATATATATATATATATATATATATATATATATATATATATAAAATATGAGTTACCCACCTGCATGTTTCCGATGAGAAACGAGAATAAAACCAAACCAGATATAGAAATGAACACCGCAAAGCAAATTTCCCACACAAAGGTGCTTGTTTGAAGGTTTTGACCGAGAGAACTGCAAGTAAAAAAAGTATCACATACCGTGATGTGCGTGGGGAATAATAAACATACAAAGAAATTGTTTTGAGATACCTAAGATTTTGCAGACCCCACCAGAAACAGTAAAAGAACTTCTGTGGAAAATCAAGTGAGTTGACAACACCAGATTGAAGGGCAGGAAGAAAGATTCCAAAATCATAAGGAGGGTTTTCCATTTCTATTATGGGGCAGCTTGAATTCAAATACTCAACAGGATGTGATTGATTACCACAAGAAAACCAAGAACGCGAA